AAGAGAGAGAGAGAGAGAGAGAGAGAGAGAGAGAGAGAGAGCGCGAGCAGGCTGCAGTCCCGCAGTGACCCCAGGGGAATCGTGAGTCAGAGCAGCCATATTGAGCAGGAAATTACTCACAGACGCTGCGTTCCTGCCTCTCCACTCCCCAGAGAATCGGCCTTTTGTAAATGGTTCCTCTGTCAGTAACCGAGGGGGATGGGCGGGGTGGGGGAGGCTCTGCTCAGCGCCTTCCTGTCAGCTCCTTCCCTTCCAGCTGAAATCTGATCCCTCCCTTCCCAAAACTCCAAATTTAGAAGCCAGACTGAAACTGAAATTCTTTTCCTGCCTACCCTGGGCTCTTAAAGGCACCAGTGCTGCAATTCCTGAAGCAGCAGAAGCTCTGCAGGGTGGGGGGTCCTCACCCAGGATGCCCAGGGGTACGAGGGGTCCTGCAGAAGACTGGGCAGGGCAGCCAGGTTCCATCCCAACTTCAGTGTTTTCTTTTCTCTCAGTTGCACCAACCCTTAAGATTTCCAGATCTCCAGAGGCAGCACTACCCCCTCCTAAGCACAGAGCACAGCAGTCCCCGGCGGGTCTCCAGGCTTCGGAGCTCCAGGGTCCAGTAGGTAAGGCTGGGCCCCTCGCTCACTGACAGGGAGCCAACGCTGCCCACCCAGGGAAGCACAGGGCCTCTGAGGAAAGGACGCGGGGTGTGCTGCAACCAGCAACCACTCAGACCCACCCCCGCTGGGCAGGTGGGCAAAGGGTCCTTGGCCAGCAGCTCCTGGGCCAGCCCCTCCTAGCACCCACACTAACGCGACACCCATGGGCCCAGGCCCAAGTGAAAGCCAGGCTGTGCAGGGAAGGTGTGGAAAAGCCAAAACATGACAGCCAGCCTGCCCGCCCTCTCTCCCCACTGTCACAGTCAGGAACCAGAGATCAGTGTGCCTTTAGTGCCACCTAGTGGCTCCTAGGCCTGACTGCCTGCAGATGACCTGGGCCTCAAACTGGAGACGCTTCTGGGCTTTCACACCAGCCTAACCAACCAAGCAAACGAAAACTCAAAAGTTTCAGCATGAAACTGATTCTCCCAGACCCGGGAGTGTGGCCTGGCCTGGCCCCTTGTTAGACTCAGACAGGTACCCCAGGGTCTGAACAGCCACCGGGAGGAGTCTGGACAGCTTGGCCACGGGGCCTCAAGCAGGGAGTTCAGGGTAGACTCTGCCCCTGCTCTTCCTCCTCCTGGGGGATCCCCAGGCTCTGAAGACCCCCACACTCCACCACGGAGAGAGTGGTGTGTGACTGGCTCACAAGGCAGCAGCCAGGCTGCCCCTGAGTCCTTGTGACCTTGGGCCCGCGACTCTGCTGAAGGCAGCAGATCTTGAGAAGGAAGCTGTGGCCTCCCAGCCGTCAGCCCCAGCTCCATCTGCTGACTTGGAAAAAATGTGTCATTCCCCTCTGGCCCCTGGAGTTTGGCAGAAGCCTCAGTCGAATGCTGACCAGGAGGAGAGGGAGCCGAGGCTGCTAAGCAGGCTTCTCCCCTCCTGGAGGTGCTGAGAAGAGGCACCCAGGGGAGCACCCACCACGAGAAAGCCCCGGGGAGGCAGAGACACAGACGGGGCGGGCAGCAGACCACAGTGCCAGGGCACCCAAGCAAGTGAGCGGTGGCATAGGGAGAGAGGATGAACAGAAGCAAGGTCCGTGGAGCTGGGAGTCCCCAGGTTTCCTGTGCAATAGCCTGGCAACCAGCAACCTCTGGGCTTTAAACACAGGACCTGCCTGTTGTCCCCTAAGATTCTGGGTCAGAAAGTTGGGGTTAACGAAGTCTCCAGGCAATCTTTTTCTGGGGGGAGGGTACCGTGGCACCACTGAGCTAAATCCCTGGCCCCAGGCAATCTTGATGAATGGTCCAAGTCTTAGTCCCTCAGCCACCCTGTGAAGATGAAGACCTCCTGGCCGAGGCTAGTGCATCCGTCCCGAGAGCCGGGTGGGGCTTTGCCCTTTTTTACGGCGGGGGGGGGTCCTTCTCGGTCGTCCCCACTGGGCAGCACCTCCAGCTGCTCTACGCACCAGCCTCCGTCACCTGAGCCCAAAGACCACCAGGGCTCCCTCCTGCCCTGCCTCACCTCAGTGATGAACAGGATGCACTCCAGGAACATGTAGTCCTTGTGGTTCTCATTCACGGCCTTCTCATCCACGAAGTGCCTGGGCTCTAGGAACGGGTGATCTGGGAGGGACAGAAGCCCGGGGTTCAGAACCAGGCCCTCACACCCCTTGGGCACCCAGCCCGGCACACGGACACCCCTGAGAGCCACAGCCTCACACCCGACCTTGCAGGAAGGGTACAGGCTCTTGCCGTGTGGCCGACGGGTCTGTGAGCACCCCTCCCCGGCGGTGAGCCCACCAGGCTAACGGAGGGCTGGGGCGGGGCTCAGCCAGCAGGGCCCTGGGCTCAATGGCCAGTGTGAAAAAATGATAATCACGAAGCTGAAAAACTCCCCTCACCTAGACCCGGCCACTACGCCACAGCGGGGCCTGCTCCCCACAGCTGTGTGATGAGGTCGGGTAAACAAAGCCGCAGACTACGACTGAGTACTGAGTCTCACGCCGTAACCGTGAGGGACAACTGTTTTCAGTGTATCCTCTGCCCTGTTTACAGAACACGCTTCTTGTAAAAGCTATGTTAAATGTCGGCACGGTGCCCAGCCCAGGACATCTCCTGTATGGTCTGCTGTCTGGAAGGTGCCGAGTGACTGTGCCCCACGGAGCCCCACTCAGGCTCCGACTGCTGGGGCCGGGACAAAGGAGGTCAGCTTAGCTCCTGAGGCTCTGGGTCTGCACTGGGAACCCCAAGGACCATGTGGACAGGGCTGAGCACGCAGGCTTCAGGACTTCGTACATCAGAGGGACCGTGCGGCCGGGTAACTGGCCTGGCCCGGGCAGCTGGGCACCCAGAGAAGGGCTGCAGTGCAGGGGTGGCCCCGAGCAGATCCGAGCCCACAGCAAGCAGGCCCGGGCCCAGGCTCAGCACTCGGTGGCCCCTTGCACACAGCTCCACAGTAGCAATGGATGACGCTGGTCACCAAATGAGAGCCCCTCATTCCCCACAGTAGATGCCATGCCCCAGGCCACATCCCCTCCCACAGACTCCCACGGACTCCCACGGACTCCCACCACCCCCGCCAGCCACTCGGGCTCACAGCAGCAGGGCCACAGCCTGCAGCCTCCATAGGCAGCCGCTCTAATGCCTGCTTCACAAGCTGTTCCTGTCTGTCTGGAGCAGAAAGGAGGGGTACAGCCTGCACCCCTGGGTGAGGTCGAGGGTTGGCAGCTCCCCAGTACCTATCAGCTGCGAACTGCCCCAGATGAAGGGCAGGAACTGGAAGTCATCCAGGCCCCATACGCCTTGGCTGCCGGCCGGCTCCATCCTGTAGGTCTTTTGGAGTTTCCGCATGACCTCCAGGTACCTGCACAGGACGGGAGGAAGGCAGGGGCCAAAGTAAGGAAGTGACACCTACCTGTGTGGCTGCCGAGGTAAGAGCTCAGCTGCTGCACCCCAAACAGCAGGGCTCCCCAGTCCACCCTCGCTCTTCCAGCCGAGGAAAGACAAACCCTGGCTCAGAAAGTGGGTTTGCAGGGCCCAGCACGAGGGCCACAGCAGGCTTGGTGAGGATGATGAGAGCCCTGAACCACGCGTGAGAACCCTCCAGTGTCCCATCTGCAGCCAGACCGGGAGGAGGAGGAAGGCAGAAGAGACCCTGGGGCCCTCCCTCCTCACCGACTGAACACCTTGAAGACGATGGCAATCTGGTCATCCACCCGCAGCACCCCGATCTTGCAGAGGCAGCAGAGGAAAGCAGCGAAGGCCGCCTCATGCCCTGGGAAGAAAGACGCTGAAGTTGACAGTCAGAGAGGAGCTGGGAGTGTGTTCTTCATCTCCCTCGGACGAGGAAGGCCACTGTGGAGAGAATGGGCCTCTTCCCTGTCCGAAACGAACTCGGTCCTGCCCAGAGCCACCAGTGCTGTCATTCTACTGCTAGGAGCCCCAGATGCTGACACCGGACCAGGGTGGAGCCACTGGGCTACCCCACTGGGTTTACTCTGGGCGGTCACTATCCCTGTGAGGCACCAGGAAGACAGTGATGAACGGCCCTGCCCTCGGGGAGCAGACGATCTGCAGGGTGGCTGGGTGGTGACCATCCAGTCACTGCTATGGTCCTACCTCTGGAAGAAGGGCGGGGTCACTGGGATACCAAAGAAAGAAGTGGACGGAGCAGCAGCTCCTCCATTTTTGTAGAGTGGAGACTTCACCAAAGAAGGATCCCCAGGGCTCAGGGCCACCCCCAACCCAGGGAGCCCCTGTTTTTCCGGTGCCCATACAGTCCCCTCCCTCAAAGTCCAGTCACCATACGGACACGCCTGTAACCCCAGCACTTGGGAGGCTGATCACCACGAGTTTGAGGCCACCCTGAGCTACATATTGAGCTCAAGGCCAGCCTGAACTTCATAGTGAGACCCTGTCTCCAAAAAAGCCCAGTCAGCCTGGCCAAAATAGACAACAGAGCCCAAGAGCTCAGCCGCAGAGATCAGGCTGGGGGGCCAGAGGCACTGGAGAGAGGGAGAAACCACCAAAGCAGCACTCTCAGTAGTGTCGAGCTGCAGGAGGTACTCGAGAAATGGTCCCGAGTGACACTGCAGGGCTTGCAGACATCTTTAGAGAGCAGCAGTCAGCTCTGCACAGGCCACGCCAGCCCCCCTGCTGGCCCCCAAAACTACAGGGCTAGCAGACTCTTGCAGGGTTGGAGCAAGAAGCAAGCAGCCCCAGAAGGAAAGCAGGTGGCAGTACCTGTGCCATAGTCAATGCGTGTGGAGTTGCCCACGGCCTCCTTCAGGTAAACAGCCACTTCCGGCACGGCCGCAGCCAGATGGGTGGGAATCACTGTGGCCACCAAGTTTTCTGCTTCCTGATGACGCAAGAGACATAAAGTAGTGGTGGCAGATCAGGCAGCATCTCCCTCGTAGGGCAGGGGCGGCACTGTGCTGACGGTCACGAGGCTGGGACGTGCGCCCTCATAACAGACCACCTTGGGCAGCTCAGCACCTGCTGTCCCCTGTCAGCACTGGGGGTCAGGACTATCGTCCCGATAGTCACCATCTCCCTCCACACCCGCAGGGCAGCAAGACCCTGTGCCATGAATCCAGTCAGCAAAGGGGGTGTCCTGAGCATTAAACGTTTTTTTTTTAAACTTTGGGACAGTGTCTCGCTAAATTGTCCAGCCTGGCCTTGACTTGTGATTCTCCTGCCTTTGCCTCTCCAGTCACTGGGATCAGAGATGTGTACCACTGTGTCCAGCCAAGTGGCATTCTTTACAGTGGCCAAAATAAAATGTTGGTCAATGGTGGAAGGAACAAACTGTGACACATTCCTACGATGGAATACTACAACTCAAAGAAAAAGATCTGTCACTGTACACAACGTGGACAAACCTCACATGTGTAAAATCAAGCGGAAAAACCCAGCATTGATACGAAGCTCAAAAACAGCTAAAAAAAAAAAAAATCGATGTATGGTGTAGAAATCAGGGTTGGTCCCGGGAAGGCTCGGATACAGAGATGGACATTCTATAGTTTAACATGGGCGATGGTAAAAACATGGAGAAATCCATCAAGCTGTAAAGCCAGGACCCGGCATCCTTCTCTGCTGGACCTTAACGCAAGTCTCCTGCAAACACTGGAGCAGATGCACCGCAGCCCCCCTAGCACAGCGCTTGCTGAGCCCCAGGGGCTGCGTCTGCCCACCAAGCTCAGCTGGACCTGGCACAGGAACCTCCTGAACTGCTGGCGGCCACCTGCACCCCAGGCTCACCCCGGCCGCAGTGGGGCGCGGCCCAGAGCCTGGCTCTCTGCTCTGAACGGGTGATGTCTTCAGAGATAAGCACAAGAACACCTGAAAGGGTGCAGAAGTCCTGCCTGCCCAGCCCCAGCCGGGAAGGTGAGCGAGACCTGTCCCCACAGGACCCCAGGACCCCACGAGGTGCGGCACATGAGACCACGTGCCACGAGGAGCCGCTATCTACTTCCCACGAGAGCCCCCGATGCGCTTCTCAGACGAAGCAGGTACTTTTAGTTTTATTTTTGGTACCGGGGATCCAACTCGGGACCTTGCGCTTGCGAAGCAGGCGGCGGAACCACTGAGCTAAATCCCCAGCCCTAGGTACTTTTACTTTTGCTTTTATCTTTTTTCTCTCGTTTCTCCCATACCCATTCACCCTGCACTTTTCAAATAAACTTTTGGCCCTGTGTTTGGCTTATCTCGCCCAATTCTTTGCCGGAGGCGAGAAGGACCACGAATAAATACCTCTGACTGTGGGGTAACAAACACTTCGCCCCCTACAAAGCGGCAGACACCGTTCACCTCCCGCTTTTCGCCACAAGGCGGCGCACCGTGCACAGCCTCACGGGGGCTTTTCTCTAACCAGTGCCCTAGACAGCGTCCTGGCTCTTTTCACAGCTGCACAGCATTCCAGAGTGGCTGCGCAGGTGTCTTTCAGTGAGCCTTGCAGATGGGCCCATCTGCTGCTAATATAATGACTTAATAAGCAGCCTTGTGGCTGGGGGTGGAGAGCCCGAGGTTCCATCCCAGCATTACCGATCAATTAACCAACCAACCAAGGAGTGCCTCATGCAGCCAGGCATGGTGGTACATGTCTGTACTCCCAGGGGAGGCCGAGGCAAGAGGATCACCACAAGTTCAGGGCCAGTCTGAACTACAGAGTGAGACTGTCTCAAAAAAGAAACAAGAAAGAGAAAGAGAAAGGTCCCACGCAAAGGGCTGTGTACCATGGTACTTCCCAGATGAGAAGGAGGCTGGGACATGGGTGAGTGCGTGGTATCCGGTAACGGGGCGGCCCTGTTAACAGTGCCTGTGATGCTTGCCCTTCCCCACCAGCGCCGCCCCACCGCAGCAGCCTCACCTCGTTGAGCTTGGCGTACCAGGTTCTGAAGGCCTTGTTCCCAAAGCGTGAGGGCTGGTCCACCGGAGGGGTCTCGTCAATCCACCTGTCCAGGGTGTTGAGAAGAGTGACCAGCTTCTCAATGGCCTGTGGGTGAGAGGTCCAAGCCAGTGACCAGGGGTCCAGCTGCTGCAAGGCGGTGGCCAGTGTGACAGCTGTGCCCTGTGCTCCCTCGGCTCCTCTGCCCCCATCCCCCGGTCGTGAATAGGCAGCAGCTCAGGGGGTACCGGGAGCTCGCCAAGGGAGGAGCAGCAGGCCGACAGGGTCAGGCAGGCGGCCGAACTGCCCCTAGAGCCAGCCGACCCAGGAGGGACTGTGGGACAAGCACAGCCTCCCACCTGACCTTTAAGACAAGTCTATTCAGGCCCTTAGCCTGATACACAGTACCTACCCTTGCAGGATACAGAAATGTGAGAGGAAGAAAACAGTGGAGATAGACATTGTCTACTTACTTACCTTTCTGTCTCTGAGATGAGGACTTGCTGTGTAGTCCAGTACTGAGCTTGCTGTGCAGCCCAGGCTGTCCTCAAACTCCCAAACTCCCTGCCTCAGCCTCCCAAGTGCTGGGATTACAGTCAGGAACCACCAACTGCACCTGACTACCACCACCCACATTTCAACACATCTTGTTTCATCTCTTTTGGCAGGGTATGAAGATGGAACCCGAGAGCACTGAGCTACTTTCTCTTTATATATTTTATATTATTTATATATATAGATATATATCTATATATATATTTTTTTTTTTTTTTGGTTTTTTGAGACAGGGTCTCACTATATAGTTGAGACTGACCTGGAACTCACTATGTAGCCCAGGCTGGTCTCGAACTCACAGCGATCCTCCTGCCTCAGCCTCCGGAGTGCTGGGATTACAGGCATTAGCCACCACACCCGGCTTCTTTATACTTAATTCTGAAGCAGGGTTTTTTTTTGCTAAATTGCCCAGGCTAGGCTTGAATTTGCAATTCTCCTGCCTCAGCCTCCTGACCAGCTGGAATCACGTGTGTGCCAGCACTGCCTGCTATTTTGTATTCATACACTATTAGGTGTGTGGTTTAGATCCAAGATGTCCCAGAACTCCAGAGGTGGGGCTTGTGGACAGCGATGAGACTGTGGGGAGCCACATCCCTCTGTGGGTGAATTCACAGCAAAGTGTGCTGTCAGGGGTGGGTCCAGTCCCAAGAGGCAGGTGGACGGGGTGACCCAGAAGGTGACCCTTGTCCCTGCAGCCATGGCGTGAGCAGCCTTGTCTGCCACGCCCACCCATTGTGCTGCTTCTACCTTGGAGCCAGCCAACCGTGGACTCAAATGCGCTGACGCTAAAATAAACCCCTCCTTTAAGGCAGGCATGGAGTGCTGTGCCTTGGTGCTGGTGCTAGGAAGGCACAGGTACCCACGGCAAGGACTCGCAAGGCAGAGGCGCAGCCGTGAGCTCAGAAGCTTCCATTTCCAGTTCTTCATGGCCCGCATGAGGCACAGTGGCTGCGAGGCAATGCCCAACCATGCCTCCCTCCACGGCGACTCTCACCAGAGCACTGTCGCACAGGGCTGACCCACGGTCACTGGTTCTGAGGGCTCCCACTGTCAAATACGTGGGGTGCTTCCCAAGTCGCCACTACAGATGACGCCACGGGACCAAGCTTACGGAAGGGCTGGGGAGGGGAGTGGGGCAAGAGCCCAGCTCTTTCCCTTTCCCACAGAAAACAGCCCAGGAACTGGGAATGGAGGCACAGGTTCGAGAGGCAACAGGACAGAGAACATGACAGGGGAGGAAATCGGATGGGACATCAGCCCCAAAGCAGGTCCACGAGGGAGGATGCAGTACGGTTTAGGGAAACAGGCCAGCGCCGAGGACTGCAGGAAAATGCTGCAGAGCAGTTCAAAATCAGGCTGCCCTGCCAGGAAGCCATCGCCCGTGTCTACAGGCAAAAGCAGCTTAAGGAGAAACGTCGGCTGGGCGCGGTGGTGCATCCTGTAATCCCAGCACTCTGAAAGGCTGAGAGAGGACTGCCCAACCCAGGCAACTTGGTGAGACCTCGTCTCAAAATTAAACATTAAAAACCCCGAGGTGACGCTGTGACCCAGGGGTAGAGCGCTCCTGCGGAACTCGCACGGTGACACCCACAGCTTAGGCTGTGCCGGGACTGCAAGGCGCCAAGCGCAGGCTCCACGGGGTGCAGCGTGCCCAGACGCCGCCTCCCTTCCCTTCCCCTCCCCTCCCCTCCAATGGGGCGCAGGTGCGGGGAGACGTCTCCTGCAGGGGGCGCACTTGCCCTTTAACACCAGCCTGAGGGCGGAGGGCGGGGGCACAAGCCACCTTTTCCTTGAAATGTGACAGCAGGTGCTGCCACAGCCTGGCTTTTGCTCCACAGTCCTGACCTCCTGAGGCAACTGCATCTATGGTCCCCAGGGAACCCAGTGTCAACAGGCACAGAGGGGGCAAGGCAGGCCGTTGGAAGCCAGCGTGCAGGCCGTGGTTAACCAGGGCTCTGCTCCCTCGGCTGCCCGTCTGTCTGGCCTGGCGGGAGGGGGAGGAGGACTGCAGGGCACAGACTGTGGGCCCAACCCTGGGGGCACAAAGGCAAATATGAGCCCCACTCCACCGAACTGGTGCTTTCCTTCTGGATTTCATGGACCAGGAAAATCTCCCCTCAAGTATTTCTAGCCAACTTTTTATTCTGCCCCCTTAGCATTAAAACAAACAAAAAAATAATCGTTTCATCTACGGTCACCTTTGTTTTGTAAAACTCAATGCTGGCTCCCGAATGGTAGGGCAGGCATCATCAGAGACCACAGCTTCCAGTCACAGAGCACACGAACAACCCTGCCCTGCACCTCTGCTCTCTGGAGCTCCAGCTGCCATCTGTGCAGTGGGAGGCCGAGGGAAGAGAGCTCTGCACCTGACCACCACCACACACCCTGAACCACACCTGCTGCTACCGCTGACAGCCCTGGGCAGCAACTGGGCGGCGGGGGGAGACCACGTCAGCCACCTCTGTGCCCCGAGGGAGGGGAACAGCACAGGCAGCTGGGCACGTGGACACGGGGCAAAGACGCTCCAATGGGGGTCTCCGTGATCTGTTCCCACGCTACAGATGAGGACACGGGTCAGACAGGACAAGGTGACTCGGCTCTGAAGTGGCACTCGGTAAACACTCCTGACTCCAGAGCTCCAACACACAAACGCGCTGCCATCCTGCCAGAGCAACAGCTCTTTCGGAAGACGGCAACTGACCGGTGTGGACATCCTGCAGTCTCAGGCAACTGAGGGACCCCAAAGGGATCTGGCGGACAACCTTTTGCTGGGATAATTACACCACTGCCCTTTAATCAGCTCTGTGACAGCCCGGCCCAGAGAGCAGCTGGGCATCCTCTGCAACAGGCCCCAGAAGAACATTCTCCTCCTCTGCCAGCCTGTGCCCCGAGCCATGCCCAAGAAGCTGCCCGGCCCCAGCAGAGTGGACAGAACAAGCCCGGGCCACCAGCAGCCAGCGTGGGCCATTAAGAGGTGGGCGGACAGGGTTGTGTCGGCCTCGGGACACATGGAGAAACTGGGCCAGGGCAAGCAGCCTGTGGGTGTGGCCAGAGGGTGGGTAGCTCAGGCGCTGCTGTCTTAGATAAGAGGCTCAAGGTGGCTATGGGCCAAATGGGCCATGACCTAGGAGGCCACTGGGCCCTAGTCCTGGGAGATGGCACTGCGACAGCCAATAGCCTGCAAGACCACAGCCTCCAACGGCCCCGCCTGGCCGCAGGCCCTGGCTTCCTGCTTGAGCAGCCTGGGTCGAAGAACTACAAAGCAGGGCTGGGGATTTAGCTCAGTGGTGCCACTGCCTGCCTTGAAAGCACAAAGTCCTAAGTTTGACTCCAGTACAAAGGAAAAAAAAAGAACCACAAAGCACACACACGGGCAGTGTGAACCCCAAGGTGGGGGGAAAAGCACACACCCCGACTCAGCACTGCCACTGCAGGCAGAACCCTCAGGAAGGCAGGCCACAGACGTGTGACCGGACCCTTCAGAGCGGCACCCACAGTGGGGCTTTCGTGGCAGCCGCTTACACCGCAGCAGAGAAGAAGCTCCCAGTGCCCTGAGAAGTGTGCTGGCACTGGGGATGCCCAGGAGCTGGGCATGAGGCAAAACCGGGAGAGGTCAGCTTTTGTGTTCAGTTATGTACATTTATTTCCCCAGTGATCTCTCCAGGAATGTGGTTACTTCTTTTGGTTTGGTGTTTGGGGTACCAGGAATTGAACCCAGGGCCTTCGCACTGAGCTACCTCCCCAGCCCTTGTTTTAGATAGAGTTTCAATAAGTCACTAAATTCCCCAGGCTGGGCTCAAACTTTCATTCCTCCTGCCTCAGCCTCTCAGACTGCTGGCACCGCAGGCGTGCACCGCCACACTGGATGTCATCTTTTTTCATTTTGAAAAGTACATAATAACACATTAGGGGTGGGTGCAGCTCAGTGGGAGTGTTTGTATGCTTGAGCCTCTGGGTTCGACCCCCAGCATGGCAAACAAAACAAAACACTAGTTAGCAGAAAGACAGGCTTTTAAACCATGTTTGCCTTGATGCCCGTTACAAATATTTGTATACTCAGATCTAAAACAGGAGAGCAAAAATAAATAAACAAAACAGGAGAGCAATGTCAGCAAGTCAAACACACACGTGCTCAGGCATGCGTCCTCCGCGTGGCCCGAAGTGTGCAGCCGCCCACCTGCACCCACCTCAGAGACTACGTACTCCACGCTCAGCTTCTTCCCCTTCACACCTTCATTGAGGGTGAGGATGAATCCGATGTAGTCAGCGTACGCCTACCAAAGAGAGGGTGTGGGGCCGGCAGACAGTAAGCGCCCGGGCTCCCACCCGGCACAGCGGTAAACAGCTACTCCCCAGTGCCGACCCAGCGACCCGACCTCCAGCCAGCCCACTGAGAGCCCACCATGGCTCCGGCAGCCTTTCTGTGACATCCCATGAGGACGGCACTGCTGCTCCCACCCTGAGGAGGCCAACTATCCGGGAGAAGGGATTGGCCCAAGTCCTCCTCAGACATGGAGCTGGGAGCCCACCAGCCCCTCCCCAAAGCTGAGGCCCGAGTGTTCCCCACCACACTATACCACCAGGAGGACAAGGCCACCACCAGGAGTCCCAGGGACATGGCCAGTCCCTCCCCCAGCTCAGGCACAGGCTGCGGTGCAGTTGCCCAAGAAGGAGCTGCTCCCTGCCTAGGGCCAGGCCCAGCCGTTTCCAGCTTCCAGTTTGGCCCTTTCCTCCATGCTGGGCTGGCGGGGAGCAGAAAGCTGAGGTGCAGGCCTCAGGGGAGGCAGACGCTAGGGGCAAGGGACTCCTGCCTGGTCTTGTTTCTTCTTCATTCCTACTTCCCCTTGCTTGCTTTTTTCCTCCTCATTAAAACCCGGGACCAGTCCTGAGAAGCAGCATGGTCTCTAGAATGGAACAGTCCTACCCCAGGACCCTCCAGCAGACCACGTGTGTCTCCCCAGCCCAGGGAAACTGTCCTTCAAAGTACACTAGGAGGCTGGGCATGGTGGCACATGCCTGTAATTCCAGCACTCAGGAGGCTGAAACAGGAGGATCACTGTGAGTTCAGAACAGCCTGGGGTACACAGTGAGTTCCAGGTCAGTCTCAACTACATAGCGAGACCCTGTCTCAAAAACAAAAAACAAAAAACAGAAAACAAAAAAAAGGACACTAGGAGGAGGGCCAGGGATTTAGCTCAGTGGTGCCATGCCTGCCTCGAAAGCAAAAGATCCTGAATTTGATCCCTGATATCAAAAAACAAAACAACAAGAACAACAACAAAAAAAAACAAAAAACAAAAAACAGAGAAACAAAGTACAACGGGAGGCAAGGGCCAGGGTCAGGTTTGGGTTCAGGTGAACAAGCGGTTCAGGGCGTTTGGCTCCCAGAGGTATTTGGCAACAACAACTGGGGAAAGGAACCAGGGGAGATGTCACAGGCATCATCCACCTGTGACGTGACTGGTGCTAAGCCTGAGAAACTCAGAGGCAGAGCAATGACCACAGGCAGAGATGAGGAAAGGACCCGAACTGGGACAGTGGGGCAGCTGATGGGACTGAGGTGTCTAGCCTGTGAGGACTCAGAAAAGGCGTGATAACCATCTCACAATATTCAGAGTGCAGGCTTGTGAAAGAGGGAAGCTCAGCTATCCCAAGCCCTATGGAGAGCCAGACACGGATGCCTTGGGGCCCGGGCTCAGGGCGAGCACTGCAGACGCAACATGGAGAACCCACCAAGTATTCAGGGCCCTGTGCCTGCCAGTCTGTCCGTCCGTCTGTCCAGTGACACTACCCACCCAGCTGACCAGACCAGGCCTAGATAGCTGCCTGGAAATGGGCCCAAAGCCTTCCCTGAGCATCTGAAATTCTTCTCAGGCTCCGTCTTTCCACAGACTGGAACACGGGCCTGGAAGCCACAAGCTGTTGTCCTCTGCCCACCATTGCTGAGCAGCAGAGAAAGTCGGTCTGCCGCCCTGTGCACCGGGCCCAGCTCCAGCTATTTTCAGTCACGGCCCTTTCTCCCTCAGTACGCTAGCTCCCGCCTCTGCTTTTACTGCGGCCAAGAGGGAGTGCCCACCATCACTTCGGACACCCAGGTTCAGCCAGAACAACAGGACCCAAAGGGTACAGCTCGGACAACTAGAGGGGGCTCCCCAGGGGCCACCAGAGCCCTGGCCCCAAGACTCTGCTGACAGAACATCTGAGGGCCACCCCTGCGGAAGGGACAGCCACCTCCCGTCTTCCCTCTCCCTGACTCCGACAGCTCAAGTGCCAAGAGCGAGCCAGCCCAGCTCAGTGCCCGATCATGCCAAGAAAAGCACTGTCTGAAAAGCCCAGGTCCTCAGCCCAGTTCTGATGCCCAGGTGTAGGCCCCGGTACCTGAGATCGCTTCCATTTGCCCATGTCCGGAACTGTGTGGATCTCCTTCTTTGGAATGATGAAGTTCTGTGTGGCTGGAGGGGTCTCCTCCGAAGACTCTTAAGAAAGGAACAGAGAAGGCAGTGAGGGAAACAGAATCCACCCCACCGCCCAGTTCACTACCCTTCTCTTTCTCTTTTTCCTTTGTAACATTTTTGTATTTGTACTTATTTGTGGTTCAAAACGAATACATTCACCACGGAGAGGAGAGCTGGCACACATACCAGGGCATCTTAGTCCTTTTTATTTCCCCTTTCTCTCTCCTGCCTCCATCCCTAGATCCATCTGCAAAAGATCTCTTTCATTCTTAAGCCAAGACCCCAACACCTGAGCCTGAGCAAGACCAGACTCATCCTCCAGGACAGAGTGATGTGTGTCGACCTGACCCACTGGCCTCCTGCCTTCCTAGCTCTGCAAGGAATAAAAAGCCAGTCAGCGATGGTGTCTTCAATAACCATGCCCTCGACTCCTGCTCGCCTACCTGACAGGACAATCAAAAGGAAAAAATAAGACACATTGCACCAAGACTGGACAACACCATCACCAACCTCCCGAACGAGCAAAGACAGGTGACACGCATGTGACCTCCTGCCCAGGTAGGCTGGCAGCCCAAAGTCACCTGATGCTGATTTGGGAGGGGAAATGGAACTGTCTGGACATCCACGGAAGTGTAAGTCAGCAGGGCCTGCTAAGGGGCAGCTCAGCTCTACCCTATGAGTAAAAACTGCACATAGGCTCCACGGGGCCAACAGTCCTGCCGACGGCCTCCACCACCAGCTGCGCTCACAGACACACAGGCTGCTCACCGCATGGCATCAGAACTGACACAGCTGGGGATCCAGCTCAGTGTTCTGTCACCTGCCTCACAAGCACAAAGACCGGAGTTCAATCCCTGGTATCAAAAAAATAAAAAGCAGAACTGATACATATAATGGAGCTCTCCAGAGCTCTTGAAAGGAATAAAATCCATACTATAGATTCCCATGAAAAGGAATTTCTGTCTTTCCTGTGAAAGACATCCCACATATTAAAGAGAAGAAAAAACGACACTGTGTCACATTCAGTATAATCTCTTTTTTGGCAAAAACTGAGGCCTCATATAAATAATACACGTATCAGGATACACACTGGAAAAAAATCTATGGTTTAAACAACAAAGGTGCTTATGGTCATCCAACTTGCTATCCTCCTGTCTCAGCCTCAAAGTACCTGGGATTTCAGGCATGCACCACACGCTTGGCAAGACTTCTACTTTTAAAGCATGTATTACTTTTAACAAGCATGTGGTGCTTTTACAATAGGGGGAGATACAAAATTTTATTTTTTATTTTATTTTATTTATTTATTTTTTTGTACCAGGGATTGAACTCAGGTCCTTGTGATTGAAAGGCAGACGCCGGAACCATTGAGCTAAATCCCTGGCCCAGGTACACAATTTTAAATGGAAATTTTATTATTTCCAGAAGTCTAGGGAAAAGGAATACTCAATACTGTTGTATGTGTTGACATCAAGGCCAATTTCACACCAAAACCAGAACTACATTTTAACCACACCACAGGACTCCCTCCACTGAGTGACAGTGGGAGATACAAGCCCTGTCCCTTATTCATAATTTCAAAATCCAAAATGCTCCAAAACCCAAAGTGACTTTTTTTCAGTACCAGAGATCGAGATCAGGACCTTACACTTACGAGGCAGGCGAGGTGCCACTGAGCTAAAGCCCTGGCCCTCAAAGTGGCTTTTCAAAAAGCCTATCATAAGCTCATCTAGAACCGAACCAAGTGACAGGAGGACATTTACAAGCTATGTGTAAACCATTTAGAAAGGGTATTTATGTTTTGCTGAAATAATTTTGACTATAGGGTGATATTTCCCAAACTATGAGCAACTCCAAATTCTAAAATATACCACTTCACCAGTTTGCAATAAGGAATTTGTAGGGCCGCCGCTTGCCTCACAAGTGCAAGATCCTGAGTTTAGTCCCCAGTACCAAAAAAAAAAAAAAAAAAAAAAAAAAAAAAAAAAAAAGCAATAAGGAGTTTGTGGATCTTCATCCACAATTACAGATGTCCTAGGTTAGTAAGCATTTCCTTTTTTGGGGGGGCAGGGTCTTGCTATGTAGTTCATGCTGGCCCCAAATTCAAGGTGATCCTCCAGACTCAGCCTCCCTAATGCAGGGATTACAGGAGTGTGCCACCGTGCCTGGCTAGCATTTCCTTTAAAGATGCAAATTCTCGGGCCAGGGATTTAGCTCAGTGGTTTGGTCCCCTGACTCGCAAGTGTAAGGTCCCAAGTTCGGTTTCTGGTACAAAAAAAAAAAAAAGATGCAAACTCTCAGCCAGGTGTGGTGGCACACGCTTGTAACCCCAGCACCTGAGAGGCTGAGGCAGGAGGACTGCCACCAGTGAAAGCCAGCCTGAGCTACATATAAGTCTAAATCCAGCCTAAACTGCACAGCAAGACCCTGTCTCAAAATTAATTAATTAATTAATTAATTCTCGAGACCTGTGAAGGACAACCAGTCACTTAACAAAACATAAAGTCACCGACACTGCCTTCCTCCCAAAACCTAGCTGCATAGAGAAAAAAGGACAGGGACCGAGGAAGGTTCTCAAACATGTTACATTTGGGGGCTAGAGACTGCCTGGAGATACCTGAGAACAGGAAACGTGCTAAGAGATCTGGAGACCTAAGGAGATGGACAATGCCTAACTCAAAGTGCCGAAGGCCTCTCCCTCCTCCCCCACAAACCTGTTCACTGGGCTGTAACTGAGGCTCCTACTATTAGTAAATTGCTACTTTATTAAGTAAGATGCTAAATAATAAGCTTTGAACGCTTGGGCTGGTAACCCAACCGCATTGTTTTTATGGGAAAATGTGTTCCGCATTCCAAATAATCAATTTGCAAATAAACTCTGGAAACAGACAGCTCTTCCGCACACGCATGTGAAGAAACTGCTCCCTGCAAGGAACAGCCCTCCAAACATGACACAGGCAAGAAGCCACACTGCAAAACACTGCCAAAACACACAAGTTGCCAGAATACACAACCCCAACTCACAAGTTTTCGAAGACAAGACTGTGAAAAATGAGGTCCCACCCACAGTCTCTTCAGCCTTCAATCTGTCTCTGACAAAGGACACCCTTGAACTCCCAGTATGATAGCAATAACCAGAGCTTTAAAGATGTTCCTTAAAAAAAACCCAATAAAACCCAAGAGTATCCTGGATCATCATCTACCGCTGGGAAACAGGTGTACACGTTCGACCTGTACATGGCTGAGAAGCACAACAATCGGGGTTCAGCGACTACCCACCACGTCCCCCAGTTTCTCACATCTCCGGCAGGAACACATACAGCTCCATGAAGAAAGTATCTTCATTTTAAAAGACACCTCCTGGGTGTGGTGGTGCACCCCCGGCATCCAGCACTCAGGAGGCTGAGGCAGGTGGATCACTGGGAGTTCAAGGCTGCAGCCTGAGCTACATAGTGAGTTCAAGGCCAGCCTGACCTACATAATCAGACCCTGTCTCAAAAAAACTAAATAAATAAAAGATACCTGAGGCTCACAGTGGCTATGACTCACCAGCCAAGATCCAAAGTTTCAAACACTGCACTGTCTAAGCAGAACTTCTTTCCTTTTTTTCTTTTTGAGACAGGGTCTCACTATGTAGTTGAGACTGACCTGGAACTCACTATGTAGCCCAGGCTGGTCTCGAACTCACTGTGATCCTCCTGCCTCAGCCTCCCAAGTGCTGGGATTACAGGCGTGCACCACCACACCCAGCAGAACTTCTTTCCACTGACCCAAAAAGTCGCTTCAAACTTCTGGCCACCTCTGGGGGGACATGTGGATCTCTGCAGGAGCCATAGGTAACCCCTGTGGACCTTTCTCTCTCAGCACTCAGGTTTCCCCCATTCATCACCAGAATCACGTGCATGTCACTGATGAGTGTGACTGCTCTGCATCTCACCTCTCCTGATGTCATCGCCTGATCATCAGGCAATGATCAGGATGACATCTTCCTGTCATAATCCTGATGTCATGAAGGCACACTCGCAAAGGTTTGGTACAAACTAAAACAAATGGGGCTGGCGAGTTGGGTCAGTGGTGCCACTGCCTGCTTCACAAGCACAGGTCCCAAGTTCGATCCTCAATTCCAAAAATAAATTAACAAACAAATGTCTGCTTTCGAATTCCCCAACAGATCAAATTCGGCACTTTGCTCATCATTTGGCGGGGGGCAGATAGTAGAAAACGCCTCTTCTGATTTTCAAAATTCCTCCCTCCTGAGACCCAGGGCAGAAGAAATATCAAGTGCTTTCAAAACATTAGCCGTGGAGGGCTGGGGATTTAGCTCAGTGGTTCCACTGCCTGCCTCCCAAGCTTAAGGACCGGAGTTCGATCCCAAACTCGATCTCCGGTATCAAAACAAACAAACAAACAAACATTAGCTGTGTTTGGCTAAGCTTTTGGCTACGGTCCAAATTTTCAATGTTATCTATATCCAGTTCTTCTTTGCTCAAAGGAGGTCAGCAAGTAGTCTTCTCCTTCTCCAGGAAAGGGATCTGTGTACTATGATCCTTCCCTGGTATCTCCATCCCAGTTATCTGAGCCGAGCTAAAAAGAGGCCACAGTGCAAACAAAAGTTACAGAGACGCCAGTCACTCATCTCCTTGCAAAACCAGCCTTTCTAAATTAATGGTTTAGACACCAATGGCAGTTTCTCCCCATAAACTCTCAGCCACTGAAACCCAGAGTCCAGCCTCCAAGGAGTGTGGAGGAGGCTGAAACAGGGCAAGGCAGGCCCAGGCTCATCCCAGTAAGCTCCAATGAAAAAGGCAGACTCCTGAATCTCTTTCGCCCCCATCGCTGGCAACTGTTCCACCAGGTCAGGAGCTTCACCGAAACACACGCTGCCCAAATGTGGAAAAGGTGCCCTCTGCAATGCATACCTGACGCCGGCTCGGGCAGCCCGGGCTCTTCCCTTCGGTTCATGCCCTTCCCCCATTCCTCCCAGCTCCTCTTCCCTAAGGCCCAGCAACTCCTTTCCCTCCCCGGAGCCCATCAGCCTTTGCCTCCCCCAGTTCTCCATCTCGGGATCCGAGGCCCCCACTTGGGAGTCCCACATCTCTTCCCCGC